AGAGACAGACCTCTGTCCCTGGCCCAAAGGCAACAAGCGCAGTGGCTGTGGTGCGTCTGGGGGCTATTTCCTCAATGAGCATGTCAGCGTGTGCACCAGCTATGTACATGGGAGCGTGCCTCGCGCTGAGCTAGACTACGTCATGTACGGGGCTGAGAAGGGGGAGGATCTCGATGATTTTTCAAGAGGCTGGGTCTACAAGCGCATGTGTATTGGGCATCTGTGTGCGTGCGTCTACAAGGGAATAAGTGGGTGCCTTTATGTGCAAACAGGAGAGCGGGCGTATGAGGCCTAGGGCTGGGGTTGGGGAAGGTGGCCAAGAGGCCGTGGCTGGGATAGCGTTGTTGTTTTCTAACTGTTCTGGGTATCTGCATCAAGTCCACTTGCATGAGGTGGGGACAGGGGGCAGGGACAGCAGGCTGAAGATGCTTCTGTACCTAGGCCTGGCACTCCAGCTAGGTTACCACATCTGGAGTTCAGGGTCAGGCCCCACCACAGAGGTGGAGAGAAAGCAGCACAGGAGTCTCTCTGCCTTCTCCAAGCCGATCCCACAGTGGACCGGCTGTTCCTGTACCCCAGGCTCATGGTCATTCCCTAATCCCAGGCCCCTAAAAATCCATCAACTAAGTGCGCCCAGGCTGAGGGCTCTCCTGGCCTCAAAGCGAGGCAAACAGCATTCTCCAGAGCAGGGTGCTGTTCCACCCTGTGGTGTGGGGGAAAGGCTAGACTTTGGATGGGCAAGGGAGTCCCGGAGTCTTAGGTTGTGGACTGGATGCTTCAGGACATGTCCAAGAGTCAAAACTCAGAAACTGTGTAGGAGTCTCAATATCTGGCCCAGAAGCCCAGGATAGGGACCAGAACCCCAGAGCCTGGCTGGGGGTGTGAGGCTCTCGCCCGGACTTTGATGCTCGCCTTGTAATCTACAGCCTGACGGGATCTCAGGATGTGGCTCTGACTTTCGGGGCAGTGAAGTGGTGTCTCGAAGCCCCAGGGACTGGCTGGGCATACCCCAGACTCTCACCTAGGTAGGACAGGTAGGGTCAGGGGTGGGGGTGGGTTTGGACTGCCAGACAGACACAAGAGCCCACACACCTCCCTCTAAGGCGCCGTTACCTCCAGAGCAGCGGAAGGCTTCTTTTTGAGTTCCTCACATTTTCTGAATTTGCAAATCTGATGGCCAGTCTTTCGGTTCCTACAACTGCTGCACTGCTCGCAGTTGATGCGCCTCCGGCAGGGCGCACACATACCGCAGCGTTTCCGCTTCTTCTTGCCCGAGCTGATGGCGGAGGCCAGCTCTCCCTGCATGGGGTACTCGGCCAGGCCGGCCATATGCAACGCACTTTCCGCCAGGAACACGCCTGCCGGGGTCATGATGAAGAGGCCTGGATTGATGGGGAAGGCGCCCAGGTAGGGGAAGTCGGACTGGCCGTTGAGAGCTTCGGCGCCCGCCACGGCCTCCATGTCAGGCAGGCCAGCACCTGCCTCGCTCATCAGCGGTAGGTGCTCCTGCACCACGCGCTTCAGCATCTCCGTGGACTGCGCAAACTGCTGCAGCGTCAGCTGTCCCTCGGCTGCCAGCTCCGTGGCCCGCTCCGCCTTGCTCAGCAGGCTGGCCACAGCACCACTTTTGTGCTTTGAGGTAGGGTTGCTTTTTGCCCCCCGCCAGGGCGCCCGCCAGGTCATGCCCGTTGGCCAACAGGGAGGCGGCAGCAGCTGCTGCAGCAGCCTTGTCAGCGGACTCCCCGCCCATCATGCTGCCACTGCCACTGCCACCACTGCCACCAAAGGAAGAGTAGTGGGAGAGCGGGCGGGAGCGGCGCAGGCTCTTGTTGAGGGGTTCGCTGATGATACCGCTCTTGTTCCGACGCTCAGGGGGTGGGGCATCATCCGCCACTGAGGCTGGCGTGGCAGAGGCGCCCCCTGCCACTCTTTCTGTTTTTTTTGCCGTCTTGGAGCCGCTACCACCGGTGTTGCTGCTGCTACTGCCGCCGGCATCCTGGGAGCCACCGCTGAGGCTCGACATGATGGGGCCGAGGCCCAGACCCCACTGCCAGGGAGCCTGCCAACTGCCGGGGGGGCCACAGATGAGCACCTGGCCCTGCTGCCCACAACAGAGATGCCTGGGGGGGCCTCGCTGCTCAGGGCAGGCACATGATCAGGTGTCCACGTGGAAGTGTCTTCACTCTGTCAGGGCAAGAGGATACAGGGTCACAGCAGTGGTACACACTTCTTCCTTCAACACGCCACCCCCACCCATAAGCTGACGAGGCACAGCTTAAACGGCAAGCCTATCTTGGGTAGGAATTTTTTATTTCTACTATCTTGCTTAAGACTCACCAGAACCCTATAAAGTGGTGGCTGATAATCTTTTTCTTTTTTATTTAAGAGTTTTTTCGCCTTTTAAAAAATAATTATTTTAATTTAATTTATTCATTTACTTTAATTTGATGAGAGAGACAGAGACAGAGAGAGTGAGAAAGCAAGCCGTCAGGACTCGAACCATGGTCAGCCATGTGGGAGTGTCCAGTGCCTTAACCACCATGCCACCTGCTGCCCTTTTTTTTTTTTTTTTTTTAAAGAATTATTTTAAAGAGTTTATTTCTTTCATGAGAGTGAGAGAGAAAAACAATCACCCCCAAAAGAGCAATAGGGTCTCATGCTGTGATCCTCCCCCCCAGCCCTCCTAGCCAGCCAGGATCAAAGGTGTGCACATCCAGGGTCTTCAGGTTGACAGGGGAAGTGAACCATGAGCCTCCACATGGTTCCAGCTTCACTTGTGCAGTGCATTACTGCGTTACTGCTGTGCCACCAAGCCAGCCCAGTCCGATTTTCTCAGATGAGGTGAGAAGTTTAGGAGGATGAGCACTAGGCCTGGGACACAGGTAGTCTCCACAGTCCCAATCTGCCCTGCCAGGGTCTGGGGACACCCGGTAGAGGCAGGCAGTCCTTTCTGAGCTGGGGGGAAGCTGCAGATGCTTAACTTCAAAGGGGCATAGTCAGCTCACTTCCTACTCTCCCTCCACCTGACCCAGCTAAGGATAGGAACGCCGGAAGACAGTAGACCAAAAAGTCTGAGAAGCCGGCCCTGGATCCCCATGTGGCAAGTTCTTTAAAAAAAAAAAAAAAAAAAAATTAACTTATTTTTTTTACCAGAAAGGTACAGAGTGGGAGAAAGGGAGGGAGACAGAAAGTGAGAAAACAAGCCACCAGGCCCAGGACTCGAAACGTGGTGGGCCATGTGGGAGTTCGGCATCCTTAACCACCACACCACCTGCTGGCCCCTCTCATGTTAAGAGTTCTTAATATATGCCAGTTATTTCAACATTCTGACAATTGCAGTAAAGGAACCAGCTTGTCTTTGTTTAACCTAGAGTTTGCCAGGAGTACAGAACCCTTATTTCTTGTTTCTTAAACTTTATTATTATTATTATTACTTTAAATTTGACAATGAGAGAGAGAGGAAGAGAGGAAAAGTGAGAATGCAAGCTGGCAGGTCCAGGACTCGAATCACAGTTAGCCATGTGGGAGTCAAGAGCTTCTAACCACCATGCCACCTACCAGCCCCCAGAGGCCTTCATCTCTCTCTCTCCTCCCACAAAGGGCCAAGCAGCACTGGGCCAGGGGAACAGCCTTCCCTTGCAAGAGTAGGAGGACATGCTTGTGCACACACCAGCTCACACTTCCTTCTCTGCTCCCAGACCACATTCATTATCATCTCAGACCCCGCTCTTGTCACCACTCAGGCCTTACTGCTGTGCTTTGGCCTAGCTCCCAGACTGGGGAGGGGGCACAGGCCTCTCAAAGCCTGCAGAGAAGGGCTTCCCGGGGAGAGGGCCTAGGGAGGACCTTGAGAGATGTGTGGGCTAGAGGTAGGAGGGGCCTGTGCTAGGGGTAGGTGGGGGTCAGGAGAGTAGGTGTGATCCTCCAGGGAGTGGAGCCGAGCTGGAGCCTGTCCTTTGACTATCTCTCCCTTTCTGAAATGCTCCTTCACAGGATGGGCCTGCTCCTCTCAGACCCCAAACCAGTTACAGTACCTGCGCGGACATCTCCCTGGCTGACAGACACAGTCCAGATGGAGCAAGGTGACAGTTCCTTAGCAGTCTGGCTCTCTAGTGCCCCTTACCTGTCTGCTGCTTGGGCCCAACACCCCCAGGAGAGGGGTGGGAGGTTAAGGCCTAGTTCCTAAGCAGCCAAGTGGAGATGCATTATCTGGACCTCGTCCCCCGGCAACCCCACCATCTCCCAGTCACAGGACTCTGTCTAGGGAGATCATCTAGTTCCACCCTCTGCAGTTAGACGGGGAGGCCCTAAGCAGGCAGGGCCCTCTGTCCCAGGTCTGTTAGGGAATCCCACAAAGAGGGGCAAGTGGAGGAAAGGAAACACCTCTGTCTCAGGGTGAGACAAGTGGCAGGCATCGACAACCAGACACACCCTGGCCATCACTGGGCCATCTTGGGCTCCTTCCTATTGAAGGTGCATCGGTGGTGAGGAAGAGCCAGGCAAGCTGCAGAGTCCAGCAGAACAGACATGGAGGGCCTGGCAGAGATCAGAAGACCAGGGGTATCAGAGGTCAAAGCTGTGAGAAGAGAAAGACCATCCATTCCCAGGATAGCTGGGCTCTGCCCCACCTCCTAACTGTGAAGCCCTGGCTGACTTTTCAGCCCCCTTCCTCAGAGACTGGTGACCCCTCCAGGTATTGGTGACCCCGGTTAGGTGTTGGGGACCTGTGAGTTCTAGGCTGGAAACTACTAAGGCAACCCATCCTGCTCCTGTTCCTGCCCTGGACCCAGCAGCCCGGACAGGGTTAGGGGAGAAGACAGAGGCAGGTGTCTATGGGCTGAAGGGGTGAGAGGGGAGGAGGCTGCGCCCCAGCCCGTGTGCACCCCCGCCTCTGCGGCCTGCTGGCTGGTGGCAGAAATCGATAGCTGCATTAACGCTGCTCTTGCTCTGCTCGTTCCCCCCTCCTCCCAACTCCAGGATCTGGCTCTGCGTGCAGGGCGGGCAGGTCAATTAGAAGTCAGCTCCCTCCAACACAGCCGGCCTGCTCAGTCGGCTCGCTCTGGCTGAGGCTCTCAGCTTTTGTCTCTGTGACTCTCTATTGGTGGGGACCAAACCTCACGTTCTGTTTATGTATGGCCTCGCAGTTCCTTGGATCTTCCCGGTTTGCCTTTCCTCCGGGACCACCCGTCCCCAGGCCCCCTCGTGCTAAGCTTGAGACCAGAGGACGTGATATGTCACCGAACAGGTGCTGCAGGCAGAACACCAGGGTTGGTCTGTCACAGATGTGACACGGGGGAGGTCAGGACAGGGACTGGCCCATAGGGGAACTGTCCTCAACCACAGTAGGCAGGTACCAACATCTGGCCTTCAGGCGTGTTCCAAACCTCCCTCTGTGCCTGGCTCATGTTCTCCCTCAGACCTGGGAAAAACTGATGCTCTGGTCCCAGTGGACCCCTGACCCCAGGCCCTGTTTGCCCTACTTCTAGAAGGGGAGGACAGAGAGGGGACGCGTTCCCGGGCGCAGCTTTCTACTGCAGGGAACACGGCAACCCCCTACCAGGCCAGGAAGGGCCTGGCAGTGCCCAGGCAGCAGGGGAGGAGCTGGGGCTGCGTTGAAGCGGAGCGGGAATGAGCGGGAGGGAAGCTGGCGGGCAGGCGGGCGGCGGCGGGCGCATCCATCATCGGCCCTGCCAGGAACGCATCCAGCCCCCAAAAAGAAATACTGCGCCTGAGGAGGGACAACAAAGGGCTCCGTTTCATCAGCAATGCGGAGCCAGCGCCCCGCCGCCCCGCCAGCCGCGGTCAGCCCACAAAGGACCCCTTTGTCCGTGCAGGAGCCGGGCGGCCGGGAGCTGGGACCAGGGGCTGAGGGGGCGGGGACAGAGCCCAGGGGGTGGAGGGGGGCCGGGGCTCTGTCATCGAGGGCTGGGGGGCAGAGGGGGCTATAGTACAGGAACAGGTGGTGGGGACAGAGAATCCTGAGACCGAGAACTGAAGGGGTGGGTCAGAGAAAAAGGGGACCTGCAGTGGAGGGGGCGAAGGGTCAAGGTGAGAAGACAGAGTGCACTGTGGGCAGAAGGGACCCGGGGACCCAGGGCACCTAGGCCAGGGACTCAGGTCTGAGAGATGTGCAAACAGCCCTGAGGCAGGAGTCCCAGACCCAGGGCTTGGGACCAAGACAGGGCAGTTGGGCATGTCCCCAGGAGAGGGAGGCAGAAGCAGGGGTTGAGGAGGGAGGAGTGGTGGCCACCAGATGGGACCCATGGCTTCAGGCATGGACCTGGACGTGGAGATGGGGAGGAGGGTGGCAGCAGGGCCCATCTCCTATGGGCTCAGGCTCCTAGGGCAGGTTGGCCAGAAGGGCAGAGTCACAGCCTCCTGGCAGTGAGGCCACTCCTGCCTCCCCAGGCTCCTGTTAGCCCGGGAACCAAGGCAGACTCCCGGGCTCCCTTGCCTGCCTAGCACTACCAGCTAGCCTTTACCGAGCACCTACTGTACCCGAGGCCCTGTGCTCTAGTGCATCTGGTGTCCTAGCTCCTGGACGCCGCCCCAAACCCGGACAGATAGGAACTAGTAGTCAATTTCAGACACGAGGAAATGAGCTCATAGAGGCTCAAGCTGTCCACCCGAGGCCAAACAGCTGGGACCCACTAAGGACAGAACTGGAACCCAGGGCCCAAGTGCTAGTCACTCCGTTCTCGATCCCCTTTGTTCTACCTGGGCAACTGACAGAATGGCAGGACAAGGTGACCCAGCCACCCCTGAAGTTCCCCGCCTTCTAGGATTGTTACCGTGCAGTGCCTGTCACCGCGCCATGGCCGGGGGTGAGCTGTCACAGACCCCAGGGGACTGCCCCCACCTGGGGGGCCAGGAGATGCCCAGGCAGGAGTCAGCATGCTGAGTCAGTGACATCATAATGCCAGCTGGCAATGAGGTCATCAGAGGTGGTGGCAGTGCCCTCACTCCACCCTCAGCCCCAGAAGAAAGTGCCTCACTCCACCCCCAGCAGGGCTCTGTCCTAAACCCTTCAGGCCAGACGGCACGGAGGAGGAGGGGACATCTGGGACGGGATGTGCACATGCTGTCTGCACGTAGACACATACGCTGGTGGCCCACGGCAGACATTCTAGATGTTCAGCTGCCCGCGTCCCCCCACCTACCCTGACAGCAGCCATGCTCTGTGCTGCTGGGGATGCGACAGGACACAGATGGGGAGAAGGGCGGCAGCAGGGTTCACGGGGTGAATGGGAGCTGCGCTGGTGGGTATGTGAACCAGCCAGAGAGCTGGAAGGGGGTCTTCCTGGAGGAAAGGACAGCGGGGCTAAGAGTTAAAGGTAAGGAAAGTCTATCAGAGGGGACACAGGCCTGACAGAATTCCCGACATGAAGGAACAGGTAGAAGGTGCAGCTCTGAGATTGCCCAGGTCCCCGCTCAGCAAGGCCTTGAGGCCAGGGGTAGTATTTCAGTTTCATTTATTTCTTCCATGAGACAGACACAGCACCCCCAGGAGGGTCTGGACACCACAACCCACCCCTGCCCCAGCCAGCCCTGGATCATGGGCACACATGTCCTGATACACCCAGAGAGAGCTCCATGTGTAAGTCCTGAACCAACCTTACCATATAAATCAGCCTTGGAGTATTGCTTTTATTTTATTTTATTTATTTATTTTATTTTATTTTTTTCCCGAGAGATTTTTGCTATAGGGCGCGTGCGCTCGCCAGACAGACAGAGAGAAAGACATAGAGACAGAAAGCGAGAAATTATCCCCCAGTGGGGATGGTCACGCCGCAATCCCTTCTCCTCCATTCTCCTCTCGGGATTTTGGGCACGCATGCACGCACACGCGCCCGGCGTGAGTTTTAAGCCACCGGGTCTGGGACGCGAACCGTGGCCGACTACGTGGGAGTCCAGCGACATAGCCATTAAGCTAACTGCTGGTTCCTTGCTTTTATTTTTTTTAAGAATAATTATTTAACTTTATTATTATTATTTTCCAGTTTGATCAGATGGGGGCAGGGTGTGAGAAAGTAAGCCACCAGATTCAGGACTTGAACCATGGTCAACCCTATGGGAGTCCAGCGCCTTTAGCCACCACGCCACCTGTCAGCCTCAAGTATTACATTTTATCGGTGCACCACTGTCCAGCCCCAGGGTTTTTTAAACAGCTTTATTGAGGTCTAGTTTACACATACTATAAAATCCATCTGTTTTATTATTTTTTCTCTTTTTCAGTTTTGCTAGAGGGCATGTGCACTCATTAGAGAGAGACAGAGACAGAGACAGAAAAAAACGTGAGAAAGCACCCTCCATGGGGACAATCTTACTGCAATTCCTTCTCTTCCATCTCTCCCTCCTTAGGGGATTTTGGGTATGCACGTGCCCAGGCCAGGTGTGTTCCTCAAGGCATCAGGCCCAAGCCAGCCGTGTGAGATCCAAGTGCCTGGGGGACCAGCAGTGGGTGTAATGGCTATGTCTCCGGATTCCCATGTAGTTGACCATGGTTTAAACTCACATTGGGCACGTGTGCATGCGCGCCCAAGATCCCATGAGGAGAACGGAGGAGAAGGGATTGCGGCGCGGCCATGCCCCATGGGGGGTGATTTCTCGCTTTCTGTCTCTTTCTGGAGAGCGCACGCGCCCTATAGCAAAAACCTCTCTCAAAAAAAAAAAAAAAAAAAAAAAGGGATCTGGGTGCCTTCAACACCACGACATGGACTGGCCCCAAATTCATCTGTTTGTAAGTGTATAATTCAACGGTTTTTAGTAAACTCACAGAGTTGTGTAACTATCACCACTTCAAGGGCAGGCTTTGACCAAAAGCACTGCCCCTCTTCTATACCTGGCTGACTGGAACAACCCCTCACCCTCCCGTTGGGGAGGCTACATTTCTTAAAACCACCATAGTGAGAGACATGGGTAGATACACACACTCTTCCCAACGATTCCAAGCACTCTTCAGACATCCCCCTCATGGCCTCCCACTCACTGTGAGGGGTAGGTGTCCCCTGGCCTCCAAGGGAGGTGAGCTGGACTGACCGGTGGCTGTTAGACTGGGGGGGTGGGAGCAGACTGCAGGCTACAGTGGGTGAACTGATGCAGGGAGAGAGGGGGGTATTCCATCTCTGATTGCCATGATTCAGCCTGGGGAGTTTCCAGAGCGGAAAATGGCCCGTTCAAGCCCAGGAAGATGCACATGGAGACACTGGTCTTGGAGGCAAGGAGAGATGCAGCCCTGGTCAGAGGGCACAGGGCACAGATGTGCTTGGCATAGCCATGGTGGATACACTACACTGACACGCTGACCACAGTCAGCACTCAGTAGGCAGTGACAGTCCTTGGTATTACTTTGCTCTCCCAGGACCGATGGCCAAGGACAGGGTGGGGAGCTGCTGTCAGACTTCCTTGACTCCATGGTCTTCCTCCCAGGGTGGGTGCCACCCCCTGGCCCGAGCACTGGAGCATGCTGCTGACACAGTGTCTGAGAAAACCCCTGGAGTGCGTAGGCCCCTGTGCTCCCTTACAGAGCTCCCCCACACAGCTGCAGGAGGGGGTCACCCATTCATAGACAGCAACACTAAGATGCCAGGCAGGAAGTATTCCATGACCTGGGGAGACAGATAAAGAGTCCAGGCTACCTCTGATAAAACAGAGCTTTTGGGGCCAGCAGGTGGCATGGTGGTAATGGTGTTGTACTCCCACATGGTGGACAGCAGTTCAAAACCGGACTTGGCAGCTTGAAAATCATGCCAGGCGTATGTGCCCAAAATCCCAAGAGGAAAGTGGAGAAGAAGGGATTGTGGCGTGGCCATCTCCCGGCAGGGTGGGTGGTGGTGGTAGTGTTGGTGTGATTTCTCACTTTCCCCCTTTGTCTCTCTCTAGCAAGTACAAGTGCCTTATGACGACAACCTAAGGAAAAAACAAAACAAAACAAAACAAAAAAAAACAGGGCCTTCCTCAATAGGTACCTCCCTCTTTGGGCCAGGCTCCCTCCCTGGAAGAGCGCACTAATCAGAGGCCCTTCCTCATTTTGCGACCTGGGCAAATGGCCTCCTATTTGTCACATGGGACCATGAGAGCATGGCTACGTGTGTGGGGCCCCCTCCTATGTGTCAGACCTCGTGTAATCATCCCATCCGCCCTCTGAAGGAAGTCCTATTACTGCCCCACTTAGAGCAGACAATTTGCTACGGTTATCATGATGAAGAAAGGAGGCCCTGCCTACTTAGGATCCCCTGGATTTGGATGAAATGTTTCCCAAAGTGGTGATGCTGAGTGACACCTATCTGGAACTGGCGCCTCCGTACCTACTCAGGCCTGCCCTCCTAGGGGGGGCCTCATCACGGCCCAGTCAGGGAACATAGCGAGACCCGGCCCAGGCTATCAGAGAGGACACTCTGTCCTTCTGGAGCTCCTGCATCCACAGGACGAGGTCTGTGGCTCTGCTGACTTTGACCAAACCCCTGTCCCCCTACTAAGCCTGTTTCCATCTGTAAAATGGAGAACGGTTCCTGCTATTCACCTCGAAATACCGAAGTCATGATCCCAGAGCGCCCGTGGGAAGGGAGGTAGATACAGAACAAAAATATTCCAGGCACTGACCCCTCCCACCTCCAAATTCCAAGAGGGCCTGAATGGGCTGGTGACAGG